TGGGCTAGACGGCAACCATGACGTCAGCCCACTGGTTGAAAAGCCACAAAGAAACTGTTGAGGCGCCTGGTCATTACACCCACCCCTCGCTGTGGAGCACGCGGCCACCCCTCGCTGTGGAGCACGCGGCCACTCCTCGCTGTGGAGCACGCAGCAGCCCCTCGCTGTGGAACACGTAGCCACCCCTCGCTGTGGAGCTCACAGCTAGTGTTGAGCCTGGAACTTCGATTGCAATCGCGAGACAGGGATCGAACCAAATCAATGGCACGGGCCGGGTGGTCACGTAGTAACGACCATCACGCTCCGATTAGTTATCGGCAAAACGATCGTGCCCAATTTTATCCCGGCCATCAAGCATACACCATTGCGCAACAAAGCCTTTCTACACGGCACAAAGGAGCTCTCTTCAGTGACAATAGAAGTTGTGTTCTCATTGTGTGGTGCAGTCGGGGTGGCTTCTGCGTGTGCTGGCTGTTGAGGAAATCGTAACCAGCGAGTCCGCGATTTGTATCATTCATGCAGCCCAAGCTTTTGCCAGTGGGAGACATCTTTTTGACACTCTGGTCGCACAATTGCTATTGTTTCTCTTTCACAATTTGGCGGAGCTTTAGCTTTAAAGCGAGCTTTAGAGCTTAGAGCTTTAGAGCTTTAAAAACAGCTTCGGGGTCTTGAAGGATTGATTATTTGGATCATTCACTGTCACCTTCGCCACAATTGCCGATGCAACTTATCAGAGCAGAAAAGGCTCGTCGCCGTTGCGACCTCAGCGTGACAAGCTTATTTAGCGTGGATGCAATCGTGCGCCAAACGCTGCCATGCCAAGAGCAGGGGGTGACGCCTCAGTTCGGTGCATCGCCGACCCTGGGCAGGCGAGCGCGCGGCGGCGCCGGACCCGGACCCGGACCCGGGCCCGGGCCGTCTTCCGCGGCTGTCGGGCTTTCACGTGCAGCCAGCTGCCGGCGGCGTGCGCCGGTCCAGCACGCGTCAGGCACGAACGGCGCAGCGCCGGCCGGTCCGCCGGCCGCTCGGCACGGCCGGCTCTGCAGGCCCGCCGGAGAGATGTGGCGTGACGACATGAGGGCGGCTCGCGCCGGAAGCGGCGGCCGGGACGGGTGCGGGCCGCGGCCCGGCCGTGACTGGCATCGACGGGCGTGGGAGGGCGTGCAACATCCGGCTGACCTGAGCTGGCGGGAGCGCGATGACCCGCGATTGCCTGCCCGGGGCGTTCCCGCGCTGGCCGAATGTTACGCCCTATTTCGAGGCGGGACGATTGACGCCGGCGCTTGTTCTCCGCTGTTCACGCCGTTGCCCGTCTCGTGTCGGTACCGAGCGGAGTCAGGGTCAGCCTCAGAAGTGCCTCGGTTGATAGCCGCCGAGCTCCTGGTCCTGGCCTCGAGCGTGAAATCCAACGCCAAGCAATACCTTCTAACCTGAGGCGTCTCCAGCGTGAAAGGCTGCGACTCGAGTAATCGCAGGTCTCGCCTGAAAAGGGTTATATGACTATTGCCCGTGGGATAGCTATTCCAAGACCTTCGACGTCACCATATCGTCATAGGTGACACAACCATTGAATGCATTCAACCAAGACAATTCTCGTAGTTCTCGTGCCGGTCGAAGTTTTCACGACCTACAAAAAGAGCACGTAAGACTGGGTCCCCAAGCGACGCGCTGCCGCGACGTACACCATCCTCGCTCGATGCCCTGTGAGAGGGCGAGGAGAGTCGTCCTCACTCGCGTCCCGCCGGGGAGGGGCTCTGCGCGATGACGCGGATTTTGCTCAGCGTCGACCTCAGCCGGGCGGCCGAGGCGAGCCGGCTCTGCCGGCCGCCGCCGCCGCCGCCGCCGCCGGGCTGGGGTGTCCCAGTTTCACCGCCGAGTCAGTGGAGTGGACCACCGGATCGGACCGGCGCGCGGCGCCGGTGCCAGCGGGGCCGAACCAACCACTTGCGCCGGCCGGGCCGGACCGAGACCGGGCGTGTCGGGCGAAATGGACTGGCCCGTGTGCCGGGTTAACTCACCTGACCCTGTCCGACAGGTGAAGAGCGTCAGCTGCTTGTGGCGATGCGCTCTTGTCATCCAGCACGTTGTCATCCATCTAAACATGTCAACTACGACAACCTTCCCAAAACGCACGCGCCCACGGGAGCGTGTGTGGCCGGAAAACGGCCCTCTGCGACCGGTTTCAGCCGTCAAATGCGTATCCATAAAAGTCTTGACACGCTACTTGCGGAGTGGCGGGACACGATGTCAGCGGTGCCGTGACCGGAGCGGCGGGATGCGATGTCAGTGGTGCCGTGACTTGAGCGACGGAACACGGTGTCAGGGGTGCCGTGACCGGAGCGGCGGGACACGATGTCAGTGGTGCCGTGACTTGAGCGACGGAACATGGTGTCAGTGGTGCCGTGACCGGGGATCGGGACACGGTGTCAGTGGTGCCGTGACCGGAGCGGCGGGACACGATGTCAGTGGTATCGCGACCGGGGATCGGGACACGGTGTCGGTGATACCGTGACCGGGGATCGGGACACGATGTCAGTGGTGCCGTGACCGGAGCGGCGGGATACGATGTCAGTGGTGCCGTGACCGGAGTGGCGGGACACGGTGTCAGTGATGCAGTGACCGGAGCGCGGGACACGATGTCAGTGGTACCGTGACCGGGAATCGGGACGCGGTGTCAGTGGTGCCGTGACCGGAGCTTCAGGGCCGTGGAGCTCTAATGCGCTTGGACGGCGCGGACGGCCATCAGCTCATCATGACCGACCTGGACACGCGCGTCCATGCCTGCTGGCCGTCACTTTACACGTCATTCACGCCGACCAAGGCTCCAAATGCGTGGCTTCTGACCTATCACGTCGCCCTCACGCACGCCCGCTACATCGCTCCAGCCGGCCCTTGGGTGTCCCGCCCCGTTCTGTACGTGCCCAGGCGGTGTTTGGACACGCCGCCGTTACGCTCCGGGCGGCCGGAGGCCCCGCCCGCTCCAGCGCCCCAGGCGGTCCCAGATACGCCCACCCCCGAGCCCCGGGCGGTTTCTGCGCTGGCCCAGCTACCATTTATCACTAACACTATTTGCCACCGGCGCCATTGTTCGGCGAGTGTACCGTGTAAGGCGTCATTGAGGCGGCGCCCGGGGTGCCAGATGCGCGTCCGCAGCGCGACGGCGGCGGCGGTGGGAGCCGGTGGGAGCCGGGGCTGGGTGTGGCTCCCAGGAGCCGCCTCAGGGCTCGCTCCGCGGCCGGCGCCGCCGCTTTCGGCACAATACGCTCATTATGCACGGCCGGGGCGGCGGCGGCGGCGGCGCGCGCGCCACGCGACCCAGCCCTTCCCAGACGCGCCCGCGCACCGCGCCGCCTTACTCAACCGTTTAATCAGCCATTGTGGCCGATTGGGCAACGCCGTGTATGCATTGTCCCACGCCGGCTGATGAGCGAATGGTGGCAAGCCTTGCATGGGCTGCGCGCGGCGGCCGTACCCCAATGCTAATTCGGTCAGCGAGTTCACCAAAAACAGGCCCACGCGGCGCAGCGTCTGCTTGTCATATGCAGACGCGTTGGTGGACCAGTGACCTGGGCTGCACATGGTGTGAGAACTTCTCCCGGGTCACGGTCAGGCACGATCTCGGCTCACGCCTCGTCGAAACGCGCCGCGTAACCAGCGTCGCCCGTCGGTACAGCGGTCGCCGTCGGTACCGGCGGGCTGGGCTGTGCTACGGCGCCCGGCGGTGCGCTCGTGCAGCGCCACTGGCCGCCGCCGCCGCCTCCCGAACTGGTGACGCTCGGCCGAGCGAGCAGCGGCCGGCGAGACGGTGCGACGGACCGCGGCCCGGCGCCGCCGGAGCCGGCCGCGCGCCGCCGCTGTGGCTCGGCCAGACTCGCCGGCCATGAACGGCAGATGTCCTGAGCACGCGATGTCGCCCATCCTGCTGCCTCTATGCCCCTCTGCGCTTGTCTCCCACTCTCCAGCGTGGCGGTGAATGCTCCTGAAGATTGTTTGACTTCAGCGCCGGCACGGGGCTAACCGTGGCCGGCGTGCTCCTGCAGTCCCTGCTCTGTGTGCTCCGCGTGCGTCTGTCGTGTTCCATGTGCCCGCGCCGTTCCGTGTGCCTGGCGTGCTCCGTGCGCCGCGTGCTCGGCGTGGCCGACACGCTCGCTGCCGCCCCGCTATACGGACTCGGGCTGATAGCCGGCCGACAGTTCCGCACCGGCAGCGGCGGCTCCCGCTTCGGCCGCGACCACCCTCTGATCACGGGCGCCTGGCCGAGTCGGTCCGACGGCGCCCGGCAGAGGGAGCGACCGACGCGGCCAGGTGTGCTGCTGGCCAGGCCCCGTGCAGTCGGGTCGGGTGCAGTGGGGGCGGAAACAGAATGGGTAGAACAGCACGGCCTGTTGCAACGCGGTGGAAGGCGCTGGTGTGGCGTACAGTGTCGTCTCGTCCAGTCTGATTCGATCGGGTTGGGTCTGGCGCCGCCGCGTTTGGTGCGCTTGGATCCGCCTTGTCCTGGCTTGGTGATGTCTGGTACCGGCATGACGCGCCGGATTTGCTGTGGTCTATTGGTATACAGTCTGGTCTGGTGAGGCCAGACCTGAGGCAGTTAGGGAGGCGGTGCGTGCCGCGAGACAGCGCCACCCGGCGACGCGACCGGTGGCGTGCTTTCTCATTAGCCTATCAAGCGGCGCCTTCGTGTGCTGAAAATACCGACACGCCGGAGATGCAGATGAGAAAAAGCGGACCGCTGCCCTGTCGTGCAGATGTTGCAGAACATCTAGACGCTGCTCCACGGTTGCCATGGACCACCTGGCTCTGAAATAGCAGTCGGGGCGAGATTTATTGAACCACTGACACGGTGCCCGCCAGGTGGCAGAAAAGGCTGCTCTCTTGTTCAGCATCGACGTCTCGCCGGCGCGCCCCGAGGCCGGCTGATGGCGTCGTGTTAGCCGGTGGGCCTGACGAGCCGATCTCATGGCCCCGGGCTCAGGCTGACGAAGGCTTTTTCCTTTCAGGAGAGATCAAGACCTCGGTCCGAGCCGGCTCCTCGTTCAACGTATCCTGGCATCTGGGGTACCCCCACCAGGTGAGACCAGCGCCAGTTGCGGCGACTCACCGCTGCCGCCGATCAGCGGCCCACGATTGGCAGTTGTGTGTGAAAGCTGGCTTGGGTGCTGTTTTGTGTGGGTGTCACCCTGGTAAACGCCGATCTGACCTTCAGTCAATGATAAACGTTCTGAAATCATTTGGAGGTCACCGACCTTTCACCTGTGACATTGTTCAACGTCGCGGGTCCGGCACAGTTTTGTCACCGTCAGCGAACTTGATGCCGAGAAATGCACCAACGCGCAGTTGATGCATTTCTCGAGGTCTTCGAATATCAGCAGTTGAGCTCCGTTGCGATGATACTCCGTACGAAATCCCCTCGATTTCTCGGAGAACCTGGCTGGACAACGCTCCGCTGTCCTCCTCCGGCTGGCTGGCGCGATATAATCTCGCCAAACAATGATCAGATCGTCAATGGCGTCCTGATGAGCAGTGGCAGAACGGAAGGCCCCTGCTCGGCCACGGTCCCGATTTCGTCTATTACTTCATTCCCGTCTGTTCCTCGGTTTCAATTTGTTGCCCTGTTTCCGTGCCCACATCTCGCACCATCTGGAGGACCGCGTGGCCTCCTGTGGACCCCGAGAGAAATTTCGGCCCTCTGGAGAGATTTCCGTCCTCGGAGAAATCTCACAGAGAAATCTCCCGTCGTGATCGGCTCACTGCCCGGCGACCATACAACACTGGGCTCAGTTTCACCACCATTAGTGCTACTCATCTCGACGGCGACCGGTCATTGTGTCATCTGGCGTCCCCTTCATCCTCCTCATCAGCCTTTATTCGGCCTCAGCCCCCGTCCCAACGTCGCCACCACTCTTGATCCCAGCGGCCGTCTGTTCCCGCTGCTGGACCTGCGTCAGTCCCAGTTCTCCGCTCAGTGCGGCTACCGGCCTGCTCCCGCTGTCGGACCTGCGTCAGTCCCAGTTCTCCGATCAGTGTGGCTGCTGGCCTGTTTCCGGTCGGTGCACCAGCCGCAGCCGACTCCGGCCGCGCCGGCCGCCGGCAGCAGGCGGCGGCCGGCGCGGCTTCGCGCTCTGATTGTGTGCGGTGTGGCGCGCCCGCCAGCCGCCCGGCCGCTGGCACAGCTGCGCCGCCGGCGGCCGACGCGGCTCGCCGCCGCGCGCCGCAGACCGCGGCTCCCGCCTCACCGCCTGGGTCAGGTGTGCCGGCGCCGGGGCGTTGTCTGGACGGGAGCGGCCCTCAAATGGGACAGAGATGTGCGTGTGAGGAACGCCGTTTGTGTGAATTTTGTGAACGAGAAATCCTGCGCCCTGATTGCGTCAGGATTGTTAGAATGGGGGACAGGAAGGTTCAATCTGCATGGTTTTGTTGCCAACTGGGATCGAATTGTGAGCGTGACTGGTTTGGTTCTCGGAGTACATGCAAATTGCATATTGTTGCATGCATCCTGAACACAACATCCCACGGCCCACGTAATGGGTTTCCGGTGAGATCAACAGATTGCGTTCGATACCGGTTGAGCTCAGCTATTCTGGCGCTGGGCACCTGAACTGAATGCCGCCAGGCTGTAAGCCCCACATATGTATCCTTTGGCAGTGGAGGCTGTGGCGGCTGCCGCATTACATGAGACCACTCGTTGACATCTATCCAAGCCCAAGGCATCACTTATCACGTCCGCCTCCGAAGGGGCTGCTAACGGCGCGCTAACGGCGCTGTGTTCGCGCCGTGTTAGAACGCCACGCCAGCCATCACGTGTCTGTCGTTCTCAGGGCGGCTACAAGCTGGAGCTGCTCGACGCCAACGAGAAGGTCAAGATGACGCTCACCACCGACGCCGACGAGAAGGGCTACAACGCCCTGGACACCACGTGAGTGCTGCGAGCTGGACCGGGTGCAGTCGAGTGCCGAGCCGCCATCCTTCTGTCTCGAACTATGCCTGGGTGTAGTCTCACTTCGTTCCGCTGTTCGTGTTTGTCTCGGGTCATGTATGGGTGTTGTCGCGTGCCGTCCCATGGCCTGTGCCTCTCTCAAGACATGTATGGGTGCAGTCGCATGTTTTCCGACGGACTCGGCGAAGAGCAGGGCGGGGACAGGCCAGGTGCAGTTGCGTGATGCGGTGCTGACCGTGGTCCGTGCCATGGTCCGTGCGCCGGTGCAGTTGCGTGCTATGCAGACCCGACCCTCCTCCGCGGGGTGTGGGCCCCAGAGAGGACCGGCACCGGCCGCGCTCGTGCGTGACACGGCAGGCGGCTCGGCCGCCCGCGGCCCCGCCTGCGCGCTGCACGAGAGGGGCCCCGCTCCCGGCGAGGCGCCGGCTGGCACGGACGGTGACGTCACGGGCGCGGGGTACAGGGAGACAGGTCCCGCCGAGCCCGGTGTCTGACGGCACACTGTGTGACTTCCCGATACACAGCGCGCTGGGGTGCGGGCTTCCCACGTCATTGACAGCACCTGCCGGCACGTCCTGGACGGAAGCTCTTCTGCCCATTGAGCGAGGGGCAGGGCCGGGGCCGTTCTCACCGCAGGCACTCTTCAAGCGTGTGCGGATCCTCCTGCATCTGCACGTCACGCTGCCTCAGACATTCCTCTGTTGGCTAGTCATCCATGACCGCACAGCAAAAACCGGCCGATCGCCCGCCACTCGGCGCCACCCAGCGGCGGCGCTGAGCAGCGGAGTCAGCGCGCCTTCCTCGTCTTACCCGCGGCGCGTCGTGCCTCGCCGGCGCCTGACTTTGACCTTATCGCCGCACCCTTGGACCAGATCCATTGAGCGGCTGCTGGCAGGCGGGGCGGGGCGTGGCGTGGCGCGGCGTGGCGGGGAGGGGCGGGGGATGGGCTGAGGGTGGCGCCCTGCCGTGGCCGGTCTCTGCTCCACCCACGGCCGGCGAGACTTACGGCCGGCGCGTCTGCCGGCGCTGCTGACGCAACAGCGTGGGGCCCGCGGCCCGTGACCCGACCGTCGACCCCGACCTCTGCGTGGCCGGACGCGGCGGGGGCACGGCCTGTGCCGCTGAGCACGCCGGCACCAGATGCGGGGCTCGCCGTCTTATGGCGATGGATGCGACTGTATGTGACTGTCACGTTCGTGCCCAGCTTTGTGTCGGTCCCAGGTTTTCGATCTAACTTGTACCCGACTCAGTGTAAATGTATGGATTTAATCGTTTATCTGCACGCCCCCCCCCCCCCCCCCCCGCTGACTGTTCGAAAAACGAAAAACTATTTTGATAGTAAATTCCAGACCTGTCAAGGAGGGAAACTGGGAAATTCCCCGAATTTCATCATTGATTCGCAAGTTTCTTTAGGTTCACTATGAATAAATCAGGTTATTTCGTTTCTTGAATTCCTCAATGGACGCAGAGATAATGTTATATTTACGATGTTTACGGCAAGCTTCTCCACCAGCCCGTCCCTCATTGACATCGTCGTCCTCTCGGGGGTCATAGACGGAGCACGACTGACACCGATATCAAGTCTCTTGTAATGCCATGGACCTTCACATTCACAGCAACCCGCATCTCGACTTGATATTCTGATTGTAGACAGCACGTGCTCTTGCAAGACATCAAGCTATCAGCAGCCCAGAATGGTCATGGGCTGCCCTGGAATATTGCTATGAATGTGTTATGAGACTTATCACGATGCGCTCCGAGACTCGTGACCAGGCGCCCTGAGACTAGTCACAATGCCCCTGGGACACGCCACAATGTACCCTGGACTCGTCACTTTGTACCCTGGGACTCCTGGGACTCGTCATAGTAGGTCCCGAGGCTCATCACAATGCATCCCGGGACACGTCACGATGTACACTGGGACTCGCCACAATGCATCCCGGGACTCGTTACAATGTACCCTGGAGCTCGTCATAATGCGCCCTGAGACCCGCCGCAATGTGTCCTGAGATTCGTCACAATGTGTCCTGAGATTCGTCATAATGCGTCCTGAGACTCGTCTCAGCGTGTGGTGGAACTCTTGGCAGTGTTCTGTGAGATTCTCCGTCGTATGCTGGGATGGCCTTCGGTGCCCCGTCTGCCGGGGGGCCGCCTGTCGTGGGCCGGCTTTTGACCTGGTCGCCCCGCTCGCCGGCAGCGCCCAGACCCAGAGGGTGACCATGCCGGAGGGGGTTGAGTGCCTCGACTGCTCCATCCGCCTGATGCGCCAGGCCAGGGAGTTCGGCGACAAGTACCAGTTCTGGAGCTGCGCCGACGTCGACATCATTGGTGAGCGAGCCAACGCCGGTGGGCACTCTCTTTGAGTGGCGGCCACCCAGGCAGGCCAGCGAGTGTTTGCAGCGCCAATTGTGAGCAGAGGAGAGTCTTGAGAGGAGTACACACATGGCGCAGTGGGGAGGTCGGGAAGGGCGCGTGCGGATCGTGCGGAGCGTTGGGAGACCGCGCAGGTGGGTCAGGGCCGTGCACTGAACGAATATGTGACGTCACGGTCGGCGCTAGAACACACGGGAGCATGGTCGCCTGCCGTGCTGCTCACTGATCTGTGAATGTCGTAACTTCGCGTGTGGTGTCTTGGTCTCGGGCTGAATGTCGCGAGTTAGCGGCTCGTTTCGGGCTTGCCGCGGGTTTTTGGTGGATCGTGCGTCGGTCGTGGGGAATTTGTAACCTCAGTCGTCTGTGACCTCAATGGTCCGCGGCCCCAGCGGTCTGCGGCGCCTCAGTGGTGCTCACCACACGCTGTTTGTAAGACCATTATGTAATCAGCAAGACGCGCCCTGTGTGGTTGGTGGCGAACGCGGCGTTTTTGTGCAGATCAGCTGCGCTCCCATGCGCGGTGATCGCGAATCGTGTACACATTCTGTTTTGTTGCGCCATGCATGTGGTGAGGGAGGTCTCTATTGGACCTTTCGTGTTTTTATCTTGCTCCACGTTCCGATGTAAACCTTCGCTTTTTTATGCCCACGTGCCTGTTGCTATAGGTATGCATTACGCCGAACTGCGATGAATTCTTTGATTTGTAAAACCTTGCGGGCAGGCTAGATAATTTCGGACTCCACATAAACTCATTTTAGTCAAATACCGTCTCTTTGCGGCAAGTTGTGTTGTATAATTTAGGTATTTAATGTGCGTATTTATTAAGCGTATTTAGATACACATTTTACGAACTGTAGCATGCATAATTTATCATCAAATCCAACATGCTGTGTTGCAGAAAAATTCTCGTCATGAATTATGCATGCAAACCCTTTGCAAATTGAACCACGCAACGCTTTTAAGGTGCTGTCATCATCTGCTGTGACATGCACTAGGCTGTAATTAGCGGTTGCAGGGATGGCGCTGTGCCTGGCACAGGGTGTTATTATGGTAGTGTGATCCTCTCAACCCTGGTTTTTCCGATAGCCGAAGCTAAAACTCACTTGGCCTGAGGACTAGCCTAAAAGAAGTATGCATGACTGATGCATGCAATTTTTGAGAGTAAAAGCAGGTTGCCGCAGATTGCATGCGTATTATTTGACCGCAGAAATTTCCACCCGCTTTGAGCATTTGGTGATCTGAACACAGAAGGTAGAGCTGCGCATGACATTTACGTCTACGTCTGCAGCAACAGAGTGCTTGTGCTGAAGAACAGAAAGATGACGAATCATTGGTTATACTTTCGAGTCGTACACTAACACTGAACAAGCTGCACTTGGTTTCGTTGGCTCCAATCTCGTATCAGTCTCCGAAATTTTTGTTCAGTGCTCTAGACTGTGCACCTTGTGTCCTTGCGGGATGAGAAGATCTCATGGGAACAATTTCTTCGGCTAGCTCAATTTGCTCCGGCCGCGACGCTGCGCGGAGGAGTCCATTGGAGGCATTTGGAGATCTATGGGGACAGTTTTTCGGTGAGCTCTGTTCGTTCTTAGGCTTGTTGCGGTATTTCGCACTGGTCAACCTTGAAACATTGCAAGTGATTAATTACTCAATGCACGCACATTGTTTTACCGATTTCGTTCATTGCTTTGCAATGCGTATGAAGTTCGCATCTGGCTTGAGAAGTTTACAGATGTTTGATAACTTGTTTCTGTGTGACTGTCTCTGGAGCAACGGGGGAACATTCAGCTGGCACATTTGATTGCGTGAATCTTCGGCGGGAATTTTCAAGGACAAGAATGGTGCTGTCATCCAACCGGCTTTGAGAAGCGGGACGACTCCCGTGTGGGCGCTGGCGGGACGCAGCTGAATGGCCGACATTCCACGGCGCTCCACGCCGTCATGCGTTGCTTCGGCCGCAAAATCTCAGCTATGGCGCGCGCTCTACACTCCCTCTTCGACGAAACGTCGCCAGATCCTCCCGCGGAGCCCGCTGCGGCCACGTGCCCGTGATGTCAGGGGGACGTGCCGCGACGGCGACGGCTGCGACGCCGACGGACCGCCGACCGCGGCGGCTCCGGCTGCTGCCGGCCGGAGAAAGTGGCCGGCCGACAGAGCGAAGGCCGCGCCGGCCGGCCCCCGGCACGGCCTGCTGGAGACGCCTCGGCCGGCTGCCGAGATGACGAAGATCTGGGGAGCGGGCGCCCGCAGGGAGGCGGCTCTCGGCTTGTCTGTGGCATCACACATACCTCAGGAAGACGGGAGGATATTTGTTTGAGTTGGGCACAGGTGTTTGAGCCGGAGAGCGCGCTTGGCTCAGACAGTTGCCCAGTTAGGCCAGATCCTCGCCTTTTGTGGACCAAAGGTATGCCGAGCGCATCAGCACGCTACGAATTGCCCCAGAAATCCCCTTATTTGGAACGGTGTTGAACACTGGTAATCAGTTCACCGGCTGTCTCTGCTGATGTGACTGACGGACGCTGATCATTGGTGACGTTCCTGGCAGGTGCTCATGTAACTGACTAGTGCTGATGTGATTGCCTAACTACTGTTGATTTGGCTGATGGGTGTTTATGTGACAGAGGGTGCTGACTTGTCTGACGGGTGCTAATGTGACTGGCGGCTACTGATATGACTGGCGGGTGCGACGTGACTGGCGGGTGCGATATCACTGGAGGGTGCTGATGTGACTGGCGGGTGCTGATGTGACTGGCGGGCGATGATGTGACCGACCGGCGCTTATGTGACTGACGGGTGCTGATGTGACTGGCGGGTGCTGATGTGACTGGCGGGTGCTGATGTGACCGACCGGCGCTTATGTGACTGACGGGTGCTGACGTGACTGGCGGGCGCTGAATGACCGACCGGCGCTTATGTGACTGGCGGGTGCTGATTTGACTGGCGGGTGCGATGTGACTGGAGAGCACTGGTATGACTGGCGGGCACTGATATGACTGGCGGGTGCTGATGTGACTGGCGCGTGCTGATGTGACTGACAGGTGCTGATATGACTGGCGGGTACTGATATGACTGGCGGGTACTGATATGACTGGCGGGTACTGATATGACTGGAGGGGGCTGATGTGACTGGCGGGTGCTGATGTGACTGGCGGGCGATGATGTGACCGACCGGCACTTATGTGACTGGCGGATGCTGATTTGACTGGCGGGTGCTGATTTGACTGGCGGGTGCTGGTGTGACTGGCGGCCGATGATGTGACCCACCGGAGCTTATGTGACTGGCGGGTGCTGATTTGACTGACGGGTGCTGATGCGACAACTAGCTCTGATGTGACTGACCGGCGCTGGTTCGTCGCAGGGAACGACTATCGGGAGGACTGCAACGGCCATGGGCGCGCCTCGTTCGGCCGGTGCCGCTGCGACCGCCGCTCCTATGGCGAACGCTGCCAATTCTCGGTGAGCCCCTCTCCCGCCCGGCTTAGCGGGCAGACCTCGGAATCCTCCCACACGGTTGCCACAACAATGCACCGTTACGTGCAGCGTGCACGGTGTTCACGGTGCAGGTGATGCTCTCGCCCTCGTGTGCAACCTCCGGAATCGTGCAATTTCTCTGGGAGCGCGGCGCGCGAGGTCGTAATGTTTGTTTGCGCCTCGGACGCCTATGGGCCACGCGCCGACTCGTTCGGTGCGGGTTAATGGGCAGCGGTTTCGCCTTGAGGCGTGCGACTTTTGAGGGCGCTCTTCGCCATTGTTCGCCGCCGCGGCGAGCTGCCTGCTGGATTCACTCTCCCCGGATCTCAACCGTGTTTTGACGACCGCGCGCGCGCGCGGAACGCGCTGCCGACGTTTGTTTTAATGTGTCTACTTTTACTAGAAGCGTTTCTCCGACCTGTGCTGGCCGTAGCTTTAGGTTGCGGCAGAAACTTGCTGCACTTTGTGTGCAGGCTCACATTATAACATGTTAAGGATTTTAGGTCATGTGCAATTTAGTTTTTGCATCAGCCTAGTACGTAGACTATGATTAACGCTCCCTGGTTTCATGTTTGTGGAATCCTTCGCTGGCAGCAGTGCATCCATATAGTATATCTCATTAGCTGGTATGCTGGTATAACGCGCTTGATATGACTAGGATGCCGATCTGATATGTATGGTACACATCTTACGTCCGATATACGTCTGCATCTGCGTCCAACATATCTATCGACTATGCACCTACTGCTTCTCAAATATGTCTGTTATGTCTGCTTCAGAATGAATGTGAGCAAGACTCACATTGCGGGACGTACGGCAAATGCATAGACCTCGCTGCTACCACCTACCCGAAGAAGCAGTGCTTCTGCAGGCTGGGCTTCTTTGGAAAGGATTGCGCTCAGAGGAACCGTAAGACAATGCTTATTGACATCAGCTGATGTCCTCCGTTGGCCAGTTGCTCTCTGCGCAGCGTCTTTTGTTTGGATTATGCGATTGACCGCGCTTCTTCGTTTTTGTTTTCTTTTGTTTTGCTTTTTTATGTTTTGGTATGGCCATGGCCCTCCGTCCCTAAATATTTCTCTTCATTTCAATCGTTCATCGTAAATCTATGCATTTTATTTTTGGTTCCTGGGGCTCCATGTTCCAGCTGCTTTTGGCCTAGACATATTGTGTACCAGTCGGTCTGTTCGAGCTGAGAGCGTGGATGAGAGCAGCCCTGCCAGTGACGTGGGTGGGCGCACGGTCCGGCCCTGCCAGTGACCTGGGTGGGCGCACGGTCCGGACTGCTAATGACCCGGGTGACTGCACGGTCCGGCCCTGCCAGTGATCTGGGTGGGCGCACGGTCCGGACTGCTAGTGACCCGGTGAGTGCACAGTCCGGCCCTGCCAGTAATCTGGGTGGGTACACGATCCGGACTGTTTTGGCTGGTCTTTCCGCTACGCCGACCTGTACCGTTGACGTCAGTCGGTGCCCCCCTCCCCCCCCCTCCGCCTCCCCCGTCACGAACCGTTCTCACCGCCGGCTTGTTTCCAGCGGCGGGCATGCGCAAGAAGATCACCAACTTCGGCCTGTACCAGAAGCGGGAGATGTCACCCGAGTACACGTTGTACTGGCGCGTGCTGCCCGAAGTCTCAGAGATCGAGATGGTGATGCAGGTGCGCGGCGTCAGCTACGCCGCCGTCGGCTGGCGGCCCGGCAGCCTGGACGCCTCGTGCAAGCGGTTCCCGGCCATCGAGGAGACGGGGACGGCGTCGGCGCGCAACAGCGGCTCCTACGGGCAGTCCGCGGCTGAGCCCAGCAGCGAGCCCGAGCCCAGCAGTGAGCCCGAGCCCGAACCTGAGCCCGGCAGCGAGCCTGAGCCCGAGCCGAGCGGCGAGCCCGAGCCCAGCAGCGAACCTGAGCCCGAGCCGAGCAGCGAGCCCGAGCCGAGCAGCGAGCCCGAGCCGAGCAGCGAGCCCGAGCCGAGTAGCGAGCCCGAGCCGAGCAGTGAGCCCGAGCCCAGCAGCGAACCCGAACCCAGCAGCGAACCCGAGCCCAGCAGTGAGCCCGAGCCTACGGGCGAGCACGACCACCACACTGGGCCGGAGTCCAAGAGCAAACCGGAGCCCGCGAGTGAGCCCACGGCCGAACCCGAGCCTCAGGCCGAAGACGTGAAGCAGGAGGCGTCGTCAGGTAATTCACGGATGGATAAGTTCAGGTCCGGTGGGTTCCGGAGCCAGCGCAAGGCGTGGAGGACGCGCGGCACGCCGCCGGCCGCCCGCGCCGCCGCCGCCGATCAGCTGCGACTGCGCACCGACGGTAAGTGACCGGCCCCTGTCGGAGCATGCGTCGACCGACGATTGCCTGCGGCCACTCACCCGACTATGGAAGGCTGCGGTAGCACCACAGACCCGGAGGAGGCGTCGGCCGGTGCCGGCGGCGTCGGCGACGGCCGGGAGGACACGGCTCGCTGTCCTCCCTGCGGCTGCTCTCAGACCCTCTCCAGCTGGACCGGTTCTCGTAGCCTAACCCAGAGGCCCCTCTCACTGCACGTCCGCGCTCTGTAGTCGGCGACAGGTATGTGCAGGGGTTTTGTACATACGGCTTGCCCTCTGACGTCTGTGGCTGGTCACGGCCGAGCGTGGTGACAGCGTGCCCGGCCGGGAGCCGGCCGACTCCTGGCGCCGGTAGACGCTGCCACCAGCGGCCGCGGCCAGATCCCACTGACGCCGGGTCGGCACCTCCGCCTGCAGGAGAGACTGCTGACGCGGCGACAGAACAGTTAACTGGCCAAATTCACAACGACATTAAAAGCATGAGGCGCGAGATTATAGTTGCCGGTGGCAGTGAATGAAGCCTCGACCATCTGTGCAATGCTCAGTTAGATTCATAACTAGCTGCGATCTCTCGCATCCATTAGTTACGCGTTCATCATCTGAAGTCAGCTGCCAGCAAAAGCCCGTTACTGCAAATTCTCGTTGGGCTGGCTTTGATGAAGCACACTTTGTAAAAGTACGTAATCCAGCCTGAATCTACCTAAGCACCCTTTTGACATCCCGACAAGCATGACTCACCAAAATAACACAAAGTTCTCGCATATTTAAACTAGTCTATGGTAAGGTAGTTGGTTTTGGGCTGAGTGCGTTTTTGTTACGATTATTTACATTCCATTGAAATCTGTATTGCTGCGAGCATGGCTGTGTGTTTAAAACTTGTCTTAATGAGCGTGTAGCCTTTTAACTCACCTGGTTCATTTGATCACGGCACATCGCTTGTGTTTGACTAATTCCTGGGAGAAGTAACATAAGCCACGCACTTTCAGGGCAATCAGAGGTGATTACTCGACAGAAGCGTCAGACCCATGGTGAACCAAACCCGACGAGCGAGCCCGAGCCCAGCAGCGAACCTGAGCCCAGCAGCGAGCCAGAGCCCAACAGCGAGCCTGAGCCCAGCAGCGAGCCCGAGCCCAGCAGCGAGCCTGAGCCCACCAGCGAACCAGAGCCCAACAGCGAGCCTGAGCCCAGCAGCGAACCCGAGCCAAGCAGTGAACCCGAGCCAAGCAGTGAACCCGAGCCAAATAGCGAGCCCGAGCCAAACAGCGAGCCTGAACCCAAGAGTGAACCCGAACCGTCCAAATCAGACAGAAAACGTAAGCACATTGACAGTTAAACGTGAAGTGATTCCAAGTAACTCACACTGTAATCGTTTCGTATTGTTTCATTACACCCGTTTCTGAGCATTGCATTAATCTTCCCGGACGTACCCCGGCGATATTTCCTGTTCCAAAAGTGTACATGCAGTAGGATGGCAATTCCTCTGTGCAAATTGATGGAATTATACTTAACCCTTTAAGTCGACCACGTCCACAGTTTTTATAACTGCCTTGTATTTGGCGCTAAGTAATAACCTGAACAAAGATCGACCATGGTCGCGGCGAGTTTGTGTTTTTTTTTTTGTTTCGTTCCGCTTCGTTTTCGAGATCTGATCATGCAACTGGAGGTCTAAAGACAGTCCTGCCCCTTTCGGAAGCCCCTTCAACGCCCGAAACTGTGGAGCTGTATGCTACCTGGCCGCCGCTCCCGAGGACGCTGACATCCCCGCTCTCCGCTCCAGCCAAGCAGGTCAACCTCCCTCGCGTGGGCTATTACCCAGGCGGTGACTTCCACGCCATGGACTGCACGGACATCGTGCTGGGGCGCGCGCGGGGCAACTTTGGCCGCGTCGACGACTACTACACGCGCGACCGCTCCACGCCGCGGCGCGACGAGTTCTGGGGCGGCAGCGGCAGCCTCACCGGCAGCATGGCCTACGAGGAGGACGGCATCACCACCGTCGCGTTCCGCCGCAAGCTGGACGGTAAGGGCGGGCGCCGGATCGGCTGGAGCGCGATCGCCGCGTCCCGGTAGCCTTGGCTGGCGGAGGTAGCGCGCTTTACCTGAGTGTGGCCTGTTGCATTTGTTTGCCGAGACATAAGGGTCGTTCGGACAGGTTCGACAAGCTGAGTTCTGGCAGGCTCGCTCGCTCGCTCTGTCTAGACTATCCTTGGGACACAGTCTGCTAAAGCACCTCGACAGTGAATGGCATCTTGCGGCTTTCTGCGTGATGTGCCGTGCGTCATGGTGCCGACTTTGCACCGTCATCGACCGGCCCGAGCGCGCAAATACTGGTCCTGTGGGCGTGTGACTCGCCCGTTTCACACCGGCCAGCCGAACGCCTTCTGACCAGCACCGCCCCCTCGCCACAGCGTCCGAGCCGACCGACCACGCCATCGAGAAGGACCTGATGCACGTCATCTGGGCTCGCGGCCAGCAGTCGGGCGACTACATGCACCGGCCCAAGTCGGGCCTGGAGGCGGGCAGCTCGTCCGTGCCCAACTTCTACCGGCCGGACGAGGTCAAGTACCACGGCAGCGGGCAGCAGCGCGGCGTGGCGTCCATCGACTTCCTGGAGGGCGGCAGCACGCAGGAACTGTCGCCGCGTGCCTACGATTTCTGCGGCGCCGAGTGGCGCTGGCCGCCGAGCTGCAGCATGGACACGGCCGACTGCGAGTACGCCGTGCGCTGGGAGCTGCTGGAGGCGAGCGACGAGGTGCGCTTCACCGTGCAGAGCGACTCGGACGAGCACTGGACGGGGGTCGGCTTCTCGCGCACGCCCAACATGCCGTCCAGCGACGTGGTGCTGGGCTTCGTGGCCGGCTCCGGCCGGCCGCTCGTGCTCGCCGGTTGGCTCTCGGGCCACCTGCCGCCCATCACCGACTCGCGCCAGGACATCTTCAACAAGACGGGCTCGCTGCGTGACGGACGCCAGGAGTTCTCGTTCATCCGGCCGCGCCGGACCACTGACGCCAAGGTGAGCGGCCGCCCGGCGTGATGCGAGGGCGTGGGACGCGACACGCAAGGTGTGCCGGGGAGGCGGCGCGGGAAAATCGTCAGCGTTGTTCGATAATCGCTCTCTCTGATGAGTGGATGGCGAGCCACGCTCAGCCAGTGCTCTCAGGCCGGTTTGGGTGTGCTGTCTGAAAGCGCCCTTCTTTGTGTTTCTTTCCTTAGACAAAAAAAAAACAGGTGGGACCGATCCCCAGCTGAGCATCCATGGGGCACCACGTGACCCCACTCTGTCTCATGCCCCGTCCCTCTCCAGGACGTGTCCTTCACGGACGACCAGTGCCTCTACATGCTCTTCCCGATCAAGGGCGGCAACTTCTTGCGCTCTTCGAAGCGATTCGCGAAACACAAGCAGACGCCGATCGTTTCCTCCGAGAAGATCTGCATCAAGTCGTGTGGTGAGTACCATTGCGGAGGCCCGACAGGCCGTCTTCGACATTTGTCTGTCAGTTGCACTGTTCCCATTGTTTCTATCTCTCTGTCTGTCCATCTCTCTCCTGCGGCCGGCGCCGTCCACGACCAACGTGACGTGACCTTAGTTCATGGAGGTCATGCCCTCTTCATGACCTAGCCGCACGATCCATCACCTGGCGGCTTTCTCGTGGGAAAAGGTGACGTCACAGGCGAAGAGGAGCCGAGCGGCGTCTGCGCTGCAATTAATGCATCGTTACGTGGAACAGGGATCTTACTGTTGCCTAGTGATCTACCCGGGAGCATAAAAACGCCCGGAAATATTATTTTGTGGAATGGATGCTTCCAGTTACCGAGGCACTGTTTTCGTCTATGCAACAAATCTTCTGTGGCATTTTTATTGGAAGCCCAAAGCTGACGCTTAGTGCTTGGCACGTTCGATAGAATCAAATATATTCGTACATGCCTTTTTCGAGCAATATTACACAGCATACACGCAGATGTGTACATATTTCGTCACGCATATCTATGATGATACATAAGATATGATTGTACATACGTAAATGGAAAAGTTAATGCAGAAATCAATATTTTCCAGAAATCGTGGCGGTAGGGCTTTTTCGTCGAACGTTTTGCACGAACGTATCACATGTTCGCAACATAAACCAACACACTGAAACATTCCTGCGCCGAACATTGTGACCTATTGACATTTTAATGATGTTCTGTACGTATGACAATGAGAGTCAAATGCAAAGGCCCTTAACTTTATAGGCGTTGGAATTGTGGCTGGTGGGGGAGCAGTGGGTCCCATGGCACCCCCAGTTTCCGGAAATACCGAACATTTACTCGGCAGGGCTCGGTATTAAAACATGACCAACACATGCCGACGCATTAAAGTGTTCCCAAAATTGGTCTTGGCATCCCCTTGTTGAGGCGTTCCTTCGCCTGTGCATAAATTTTTCATGCCTTAGGGGGCACAGGCTATTCTTTCCCATGTAGCCAGCGGGAGCACAGCGGAGATGGTCTTACGTGACGCGTTTGCGCAACACTAAGCCCTTCGTCATGTCCGGTGTGTGAGGATGGCCTAGAGCCTGCCCGGCGTGTGCTGGAGGGCGGCCAGAAGCCTGTTTGTCGTACCCGGACGGCAGGTGACCTTTGGAAGCATACGCAAGGTGGCGAGGCTGGCAGCTGGGATAACAATGGGCGGTGATGGTGATTCGACTTTGGCTGGCCGACCCAGCCGGCACTTCTCTTGACCTCAGTCTGACCTTTGACCGGTGGAGGACGGCCGCCGGCCGCAGGGGGAGAGCATGACCCCCTGACCCTCCTCACGCCGCGGCGTCTGGTGACTCTCTTCGCGTGTTTCTGTCGTAGCGAGCTGGACTTGGGGCGCCTGGCCGGGTCGGGTTGGCCCTCACCTGTCCGGCGCCTGCGCGCCTGCGCAGCACGCGGCGCCGGCTCTGTCGGGGGCTGGGCACGTGGCGGCGCTGTCCCTCCCGCGCCGGCGGCGGCAGGCGGCGCGCCCGCGGTGACGGCCTCTGCTCTGTGTGTCGTTGCAGTCGGGCCGCAGCTGGGCAGACATCAGGGCGACAGTGGCGCCACGCCGCGGCCGGCCGCCGCAGCCGCCAGCGCCCTCTGTGCGGCCGCCCTCCTCCTTCTCGCGTTCGCGCACTAGGCCCTACGAGGCGGGCCCTTCGGGTGGGGTGGGCCGTCCTCATCGCGTCGGGTTCTGTCGGTCATCCACCCTGGGGACGGCCGGCTGTAACGGTTTCGCACAAAAGTTTGTCACAGTCAGCAGCTTAGCAGATTATTATACCGATATAGGGCACAACGGCAGCAGGAATAGAGACCTCAGTAATTCACACCAGAATCATAATGCCACGTAGCAACGCGCCCATGCCTGCATAATCGCGGAAAGGAAAGCCGTCGGAGGGTGGGGAGTTTACAATGACCTAGCCGGCCACAACAGCTAGGCGTACCTTCGGGCGATTGTAGTTCCCGTGGTCAGGTGCGGTTCCTGCTACCGGCCTCGTGACACGGGTAGGTGCCAGAACGGGGTGATGTGTCGAAATAATTGCGTCCAAAAGCTGTGAGCTTCCCACTACGTGTGTTTATTGTTCGTGCCGTGCACCACTTAGGTAATGTTAGCAGTTTTAGTAGCTTGCCATATGTCGCTGTGTTATTCTCGGCGGTCGTCCGCACCTGATGCCCTTAAGGTCGTGCTGCAGCGTTTTCCCAGCCACGCTGGACTAGGAGCTGCGCCTGGCATTTACCAGCACGTCCGGCGGTGTTCAGTTTCAGCACTGTGCGTGGTGGGAGATCGGGGTGGTGGAGCATGGAGCTGGTTTTCGCCCACTTGTGTACTAGCAGCGTTCTTTTGCATGCCACATCTGTCGAACCGCGATCCCAGGTCCCGGGAGGCGGGAGCGGGAGCGGGAGCGGGGGCAGATACCTAAACCTCATTTTGTCGAGCTCAGGCTAGAGGACAAACGCAACAGCTTTGCGCATTTTATTTACAAACTGTCACGCGAGCGACTCCCATTGGGCGGCGCTATCCGGGTCTTTTGTCGCTTTATGTGTTGTCTACGTGACCACTTATCTCTGCTGGTGTAGGTACAAGATACGACCACCGCTGTGTCATTGGGCGGGAGTCAGATCTAACTTGTGTAACGGAGAGAGCCTGCAGATTAGTTACAGTAGTAAGGCGCTCTGCGAACAAATATTTGTCTGTGTCGTAGGAATCACGTATTGTGTAATAATCAAAGTCCAGTGTCATGTATCATGCTTAATGGAGCGAAAGTTTCCATGGTAATAAAGATTTGATTGAGAGTATCTAAATTATGTGCTGATTTGTTCGATGTACGGCATCTAAGGATGGCTTCTTCATAATCCAAGGTTAGTACCAACCAGTTTTTCTATCCAATGCTTCCTGTATACTTTTCAACCAAGCACTGCATCATATTTTTAATGTCGCAGAAATCGCATTGCTCCTGACCGCACGCTGCGCACCAAAAGCTCCCATGGATAAAAGATTCACCGAAGTGTTCCGAATCTCTGAAATGATTGGGAACGTTCGTAATAACGGCTCTAATAATATTCTGCATTTTGGTGAGACCTCTCGGACGATGTATTTACTGAACTTTTCTTCATCTTCCCAGAAGGTTCGGTATTATTGGGTGCATGTAGTACATGATACCATGGTGGCTGTGTTGACGTCACTGCTCATCGTTGAGTTCGTCTCCGTATATCGTTCAGTTTAATTGGTGCGTCTGAGGTAGTCCCTCACGATTTACGCATGCCGAGGGCCCGGCCAGTTCCGTGGAGGAAAGGCTTAATATAAATTTGCACGTTGCCCTTTGTTTACACTAAATGTCATACTGTCAGAAACTTGATCTGACATTTCGATCCACTCTGGGAATATTTAACACAAAGTGGAACACATGAACTCACTACGTGACGACTAGCAAGTGTGCGTCAGTTTTTTTTTGCTCTATTTCCGTTACGTGACGTACAGTTTGAGCGTTAACACTGCCTGAGCACAAATTATGCACTGATGTCTGAGTGTGGTCTGTCGGTATTTGTGTTGGTACTCGACACTTGCGTCGATACTTGCGTCGGGACTTGCGTCGGTACTCGACACTTGGGTCGGTACTTGCTTCGGTACTCGACACTGGCGTCGGCACCAGGAGAGCGACTGGTCGCTGGTCCGGTGGCGCCGTCTGCCGCTCCTGACCGCCGGACGCTGACCCGCCGTCGCCCCCTCAGCCAGCCTCGAGCCGCTGCTGGACAAGGACGGCAAGCCACTGCCGCCGCCGCCGCCGCCCAACGTTGAGTACGACGTGGAGCTGAAGCTGCGCGGCCTCGGCGACACGTACATGCTGCCGACGCCCGAGTCCGAGGAGTTCGAGGTGCTGAGCGAGCGGATCCGGCGTGACGTCATGTCCCTGCTGGAGACGGTGCCCGGCCTGAAGAGAATCCGCGTCACGCAGTTCCAGGAGTGAGTGGTCTTCCGGCGGGGTCGCCCGGCTGGGGGAGTCAATGGGCTGATCAGTGGGCCGGGGTCGGGCGGTTCGAGGAGTGAGTGGGGATGTGGGCGGGCTCGCCCGGGTCGAGGAGCGAGGCGCGTGGACAGGCGCTCCCAGGTCCTGCGGTTACTCGGGCAGTGACGCGTGCCCGACGCTGCTGGGGTGTTACGAGCTCTGTGACAGTGCCCCCTGCCCGTCTATAATGCGAAGCGTGCAGTTCCTAGCTCTACTCCACGTCTGTCATGGTTGTAATGCATACGAGTCCCGTATATTTAAGTTTAAAAGTGTTTTGACGTCTAAGAGCAGCTTCTTTGAGGCGCCAAATCACAGGACGAAAGTACCTTGTTGCCCGTTATTGTAAACGCATTTCCAACTCACCAATACGTAGATGTGCCTCCGTAGTGGTGCCCCACCCTCAATCCACACACACAGGCCGACCTTTTGAAATACGCCTGCGCCCCGTGTGACCGGCCGTCGCCAGCGGCGCTGTGTCCTCATGCCCTGTTTGCAGTGCCGTGTCGTGTGCCTTGTCCTCATGTCCTGTTGCAGTGCCGCATCGTATGCCGTGCCTACCGCCCCGCTGTAACTCCCCCCCCCCCTCGCTCACTAGCGATTCCGGGAACGTGGTGGCACACATGAGCGTCCAGGTGGACCGTAAGCGGATGGCTAAGGAGCTGAAGCGCGTGGAGGGCGGCGAGGAGAAGCCGCGAAACCGTGGAGACCGTGCTCACCGAGTCGGTGCCCACCGGCATGGTGGGCAACCTGCAGGTCAACCCACAGTACCTGGTGGTGCAACCCAGGAAAGGTGAGCAGACGCGCCTCTGGCCTGGTGCGGGCATGCCTCCCACGTACATCCGTGATGCAAGTAGTGTTATTGAGCTTATGGCAAGTAGCGTTTTATGTTGGTTTCTTTGTACTTAAACGGTAACAAGGGTTCGGGTTTGGTTTCTTTTGTAAAACCAAACTTAGATAATACGCGTTAAGATTATATTTTTGAATGAAGGTTTGCGTCGTAATAATTATGGACATACACCATGTCTTTGGATACTGCATGAGTCAGGAAGCTGTGGATGGCACAAACCCAAATGGGAGATAGGTGGCAAGGGCGTGACCGCTGTGTGCAGTCGGTTAACGCACGGCCAATGTCCAACATCTGCAGTAACATCTGTCTGCAGCCGGCCCAGGCGAGCTCCGTGCCGACTATGCCGCCTGTGTGCACTGCGTGTGCCGAGCCTGACGCCGCCCGAGACCCGCTGTGACCGCTGGCTCCGACGGTAGCCTGTTGCGGCCCTCTGTGGTCGGTCCTGGCGCCGGGTCAGGCGGATACCCCGCCCCCGGCAACCTGACATGCCACCGTGCTCCGGCGCCGCGCCGGTCACGGAGCACGGGATCGCACGTTGACGCCGCCCGCGCCGCCGCTCTTCGCAGAGGCGCGCAGCCTGGAGGCCAACGGCCCGATCCCGCAGGAGCAGTGGGACAGCGAGCTGATCAAGATCTACATCATCCTGGCGGCCGTGGCGGCGCTCATCCTGCTGGCCATCGTGCAGGCGGCCTGCACGCTGGCCAGGAACCGGCGCGCCTCGCCGCCACAGGCCAAGCCGCACGGCAAGGTCAGCAGTCAACCGGGCCGGGCCCGCAGCAGCGCTCCGTCCAGCGCGGCGTCTGCTCTCAGCGCGACGTTCTGCTGCGGCAACGCGCCACTCAGAGAAGCGCCTCTGTTCGCCGCGGCGCCGCTCAGAGCTGCGCCTTTGCTCGGCACGGCACCGCTCAGAGCTGCGCCTCCGATCCGCGCAGCGTCGCTCAGAGCTGTGCCTCCGTTCGACTCAGCGCTCTCTGGATGTGATGCCGGTCTTGTTTGCTGGCCGACGGGCAATGCTCACCGCCTTCCGCTCCTGTCTTGAATTGAAGCCGCCTTGAAACACATGTGTTGGCCACCTGGGTGAAGACAGCAAAGCTACCATTCCACGCACTTCTCATTTGCCACTCACTGCGCATGCTTTATGGACGGGGGAGGGGCAGTGAAGCGCTCAATTTCAAATTAATTTCCAGATCGAGACCGTGTTTGTTTCGAATCTAGCCCTCTTCGTGGTGTATGAAACGCGCTGGCACAAAAAAAGAACACTTCTAATGCAAATCAGCTTAAATGTGCGTGAGCTGGTAGTCGCGTCTCCACTTGGCTGCATTTGGTGACACAGCGTACTCATCACCCGAGGACGTACATTTCACCGCCGTGCATCTTGCTCTCTAGGTATCGGCTCAGTCCTACATGTTTTTCTGAATGCCCTGTGAGTAACTTCTCCCTTCAGCACATCTTCGCACTGCTTTCATGCCCGCCTGTTGGGCAGACACGCTGGGTGACGGGTAGAGTTAGTGGGCATAGATAAGCATGCAGTTAGCTGCACCAGAGGTGAGGATCGACCCAGAGGATCGTGTTATCCGTAAGAACTGAAAGCACGTCACGGCACAAGCTAGGCGACTGCACTGAGAACAGGCTTATGGAGCTTCCTCGTGCCTTCTGTCGTTCAGCTACGTATCAACGCTGTCGAAGGCTGGAATTCTGTTTGTTTCCAGTCCGTTTTTGGGAGTGTGTACGCCGCCTTGATGGCGATATCCTCACCGAACCCGCCCCTGTCGGCATTTTTGCCTTGCGTGAGTTCTGCCAGATGATACGAGTGACACCTTCGTGATTCCGCCACCGGCTTGCTCGTGTGCGTGGGTCCAGATCCGCTACCAGGGGTGCCCTTTTTGACTTCTGCCGGCTGCTGCTCATCTAGTGAGCTTGCCAGATATGCAGCAGCCGACAGCCAGATGGTATCCTCTGTAGCCCGTTCTTGCGTATCGGTGTCCGTCGGCGGTGGTCCTCTCCAGCTCGTCTTGTGTATCGGTGACCGTCTGTGCACCTCTCTGATGCCTCTCGTGCCGCTCTTCTCTACCTGTCGAGTCCAGGCAACGGTAGCGCCCTCTCTAACCCGCCCGCTGCGCCGCAGGACCGCCTGATCACCAGCTCGGCCTGGCGCGACATGGCCGCGCACAACAACTACGGCTACGAGAGCTTCGAGCCGGACACGGCGACGACTGGCCGGCCGAGCAAGAGCCGCGGCCCGCCGCCGGGCCAGCCGGCGCCGCCGCCGCCGCCGCCGCAGATGGTCGAGACGCGCTCGCTGCAGCGGCCGCGCTCGGGCCCGGCCGGCGGCGCGCCGCGCTCCAGCTACAGCCTGCCGCGGCCGGCCAGCCAGTTCTCGGCGGCCAGCTACCAGCCGGGCGGCGAGCGGCGCGCGCCCGGCGCCGCCGCGCCCGACTTCTACTTCATGCCCAGCCAGCGCAAGTACTCTCGGGCGAGGTGGTGCGAGTCCTACGTGGACCTATAGCAAGCAGCAGTGAGCCGGCCCGGCCCGAGCCGGGTCGCTGACGCGTTAGCTAGGGGGTGGGGAGGGGAGGGGAGGTTCGGCGCGTCGGAAGCTGCGGTCTACAGAGCGGCGTTGGCCGGACCGGCGAGCGTCCGCCGCACCGCGGGCGGTCCGCGGACCACGCCTCGGCAGGCGACCGCCGCTCGCTCTCCCGGCGCGGGGTTTGGCGGAAGGGACGGCGCCGGCGTGAGCGCGAGGCACGGCTCTGCCGCGTGACGGCCCTGTCCTCCTCCGGGGCTTTCGTCACGGTCCAGTGCAGCTCGGCTATTGTGGCGTGACTAATTGAGAGCGAGTATTAGAGGACGGCGGCGGCTCACTCGCCGCGCGGGACCGTCGGGACGGTGAGCTAGGCACTCTTGCGGCGGGCTACCGCGCGAGTCGCCCGGACCGTGCCGGGGGCCGTCCGCTCCCCCGGAGTTGCTCAATGGGTCGGCTTCCCTGCCCCGTCGGGGGCCGTCCGCCAGGCTTCAGCACGCGACGAACGGCGACGTCTTCGCGGTGCGAGCTGACGACGCGATCAAACGCAGACACGCTGCGCCTAAATACGGAATTGTTGCGTGCTCACGACACGAACTTGAGACTTGTCCGACGTGGGTTCGATGCGTGTCCAGATGTCAGCCTGGATTGTGTCCCGATGCTAACTTGGACACCCGGGGGCCGGCCTCCTTCCTCCGGCTGACATATCGAGAATGAGGAGGTGTTGACGCCGGGGGCGTGAACATTTTACGTCTGTTTTAGTTCGTAATTGATTATGACCTTTGACCAGTAAATGAACTCGACTGAATTTGCGCCAGACGGTGAATATCGTACTTCCTTTTGTGCTCTGGCCGTTGTGAATAGCCTACAATGCATCGAACGAGCACATCATCACGCCCGCGTCGTGTTGTGATTATGTAAAACACGGTCTCCCATGTGAATATCATGTAACAAAAATGCGTCATGAACATAAGCTTTCGGTACTGTGAGCGTGTGAATGGGTGCCTGCCGCATGATTGACAAAAATAAATCAATGACGTAAGAGAGCACCGCGCTGCGTGCAGACAACACAGGACGATTCTCATCCTTGGAGCAGGCCATCGCGGTGAAGCCGAGGTAAATTACCGGTGCGGGCTTACAAATCACAACAGATATGTGCAAGGAAGACGACTGAGTGCACGTGGTGTCAACAGCCGCCCGGTATGACTTGAGTGCTAGGCAAAGTATTCGCTCACGTTGTGGCCTTTGTGTTTTTCGTACCAACTATTTGAGCTGTTTTTCAAACACAATCACTCTCCGGGCGCTATGTGCTCATAAAACGCACTTAACGAGTGATGTAATGAACCTATCAATAACATGCCTGATACGAAACTCCTCAATTAGATACGAATGCTACGAACGTACGTCGGTTGCAAAAAATAACTAGAATTTTGACCAGATTCCGCTGGTATCACATCCTGCTAGCGATTTCACCTGGCGGCTCATGTGCTCTGACCGCTTGGGGGGGGGGGGTCAGAGCACATGAGAGAGTGGGAGGGGGGGGGGGGGGGTTACAGTTCCGGACACATCCCGCGGGAGTGGTCGTCTGTGTGGTATTCACTGCACAATGTCGACATTAGCGTGGCACCAGCGGACCATCACGACTGCCAATCAGTGATGCTACGCATGAGGCGCAGCACGCCACGTTAGTGCTGCTCTGCTGGGGCCGAAAAACATGCCTGATGCCTACGGATCCTGGAAGGTAGGACTCAAGGATGAGGAATTTTACCATCTCCAGGCGGTAAAAGCTCCGGGCGTCAAAGACGTCAAATGCTACCTAGTGTTGTGAAAACGGCGCAGTGAAACCAAAAGCCGCAATGCGTAAAGAGTCAAATGTCCCACCGTCTCAGCACGGCCAAAGGCTTTCCGGCAAAATTGGATATTCAAATCCAACAGCAAAGGTCCGAAACGGCAAGTTGATTCAAAAAACTGCTAGTAAACGATAGACAGACACCAGCGCCCGAGGTACACTCACCCGGTACACCCGAGGTAGCACTCCGCTGAGCCAGTGGTCCCTGGCCTGGGCCATGAACAATGCTCTGGTGCCCATCGAAGGTCCGTCGTCTTGTACCATTGCCCAGAGCTAGGGAGACCCAGCTGTGCCTGAATCAGGCATTGCCGAAGTCGGCACGAGAATCATGAGATTTCCTAAATTTGGAATGGTATGCACACACCACGCCGCTCAACGAGCGCACGTCCCTCCATATTTGAGAACCTCTCGCGGCCAACGCCAAAATGTACGCAGCACCTCACCCTCGGTGCACTAGGACGCCCCAGTCAACAGTTGAGAAACCATAATGAGCAAAGCTGGCGCCTTTGCAAGCAGGGAGCTTGGGGCCCCTCCATCTCAACACGGGTCTCGCTTCGTGTCGTCATCACGGATTAAGCGGGCCCCCGAAAAAAAACAGGCAGACACAGTGTCAGGCTGTCCCGATGTCACAACGATGCCAAAACAACACAACTGACACCACACGTGTTTTATAACGGTATATTTAGTCACACATGTTAACACGACCCTTCAGTGGGTACTGGGTACACATGCAAGCAACCAACGGGACATGCGCCCGGCCAGGCACGAACGCCATCGCGCTGTAATTCACGTCACACCACCGCGTCTGGCCGGGGAGGGTTCCACCAAGCCTTACCGGGTCAGAGGGCGGCAAATCGATCACAAACGCACCTAGTTTACAGTGCTTCCCCATAACTATTAATCACGATCAGCCATCATGCTCGGCTCAGCCGCAGGCGTCAGCATTTGCGCGTGACGATACAAAACAGAATCCTCTCACCGACAAAAAAATCACCGACAAATAATGACGCTAACTCATCAACTCAACACAGCCCGACGCGCGTAAGCCAGTACGCGCGGCGAGTCGAGACCACAGCGACATCGAACACAAAACTCCACAGGCGGAAAGAAAGACCGTGGGCGAACGCAGCGTAGCGGCGGAGCGCGGCGCCTTTCACTGCACGCGGGGTCAGCCGCCGCTGACCATGTGGCGGCCCCCGCTCGCGGAGGCGCCGCCGGCCAAGGCCCCCCGCTCGCAGAGGCGCCGCCGACCAAGGCTTTAGCTCGCGGAGGCGCCGCCGGCCAAGGCCTCAGCTCACAGAGACGCCACCGGCCAAGGCCCCAGCTCGCAGAGGCGCCGCTGACCGCGGCCCCAGCTCGCAGAGGCACCGCTGACCAAGGCCCCAGCTCGCAGAGGCGCCGCCGACCGCGGCCCCTGCTCGCAGAGGCGCTGCCGACCGCGGCCCGGCCGTCGGCGCCGGGTCCCGTTTTGACCGGTCGGCAGCAGCGGTAACCGACCGGCGGACTGCCGCCCATGGCCCCCGGCGGGTATCACGTGGCGCGCTCGGACCGGCTGGAACGAGAGCAGAGCAGGCACGGTCAGACGCGGGCTGGTGCGGCGAGTCTGCGCGGCGCGGCGAGACGCGGCGCTTGTCAGACCACTGCTGGCGCACGGACGGGGAGGTGTGAACAAACAGACACAAACAAAAACACACAGGCATCAACAGAGACACAAAGACATCGACACGGATCGACAGACTGACACAAAGAGACATGCTGCACAAGGACGGACTGACATGTTGTACAAGCATCGTTTGCTAGCAATTGTACGACGCTTCACATCCGAAGGTACCTGATATCAACGTGATGTCCCGTCTGCCCATCCTAGTTCCTCGGCGCCACCCCTCCCCAATTGAACTGTCCAGTACCACTGGGTGGGCTCAACCGTCGCTCCGGTATCTTCCCTCCCTCCCGGACTAGACCTCTCGAGATCAGTCGTCGTTTTCCCAGCCTCTCGGAGCCAGCCTTCGTCTGTCTCCAGCTCCCTCCAGAGTCAGCCGTTATCTCCCCTCCTCCCTCCCGGACCAGACCTCCCGGGCCCAGCCACCGTGTTCCCAGCCTTCCGGACCCAGCCTTTGTCTGTCTCGAGCTCCCTCCGAAGCCAGGCGCCGTCTCCCCTCCCTCACGGAGGGCAGCCGCCGCGGCTGCCGGTGTCGGCGCGCGCTGCGGCTGCCCCGCTCACGGGCCGCTGCCGTCCGTACCAGCGCCCGCCGGCCCCCCGCCGCACCGCTATCTGTCAGCGCGCCCTGTCACCCCTGTCGGCCCCGGCGCCGACTCGGTGCTAGTCTGCACTGAGCGCGGTCGCTGCAGTCTCCGCCGTCCGAGCCGCGCTATGCGCCGGTGGTGGTGTGCGCCTGTTGAGTAGCTGCAGTCTCCGCAGGTCGCGGCGGGCTTGGCCGCAGCGAACGGGCGGGACGAACGGGAATTGGGATGTCGTATGAGGTGGTCCCGGGCAAGTTGATTAATCGATGTCAGATGAAATCAGATATAGACGGCTTATCACCATCAGACGGAAAGAGTAATTGGCCCAATGAATAAGTTTCAGTAAGCAACTTTTTGTCTGTGTTGGCCGCATGAGAGCTGGACCGTTGGTAAAAACGAGCATTTGATTCGAACATTCGCTAAGTCTATCTCACAAAAAGTTCCTAATCTATCGGAAGCAATAACACTCGGCGGTGTCCATGTCCAGGACGCGATGCACACATAATAAGTAACAAAATCGGTTTCCGTGAGCACACAAATTGCGTACCAAGCAACCAGGCCCAAGTTCAGAGGTTTCTGTTTGGAAGAGAAAGATTCAGCGAATCATTACTGTTAATGAATAATCCGGAACCCATCAGCTCATCGGAAACCTTCCCCACCTGCAGGGATGCAGTGGGTATTACACAGCACGCGCTTCATCCCCGTTATTGATAAGTTAGATATTCGCCATTGCTCATGGCGTGTGACGGTGCATCTGAACATTGGAAAGGCCAGGCCAAACACTAATGTTGCATGCTTTGGTTTTCCTAACGGTTCCTTTCGCAAGTTCCTCGTAAGCGAAACGTTTGTAAATATGAATATTTTCACAGACATCCGGTATGTTATCCGGTTTCCCCATGTACGGAAGGCTGGTTAACTGTTAGGTTTGACGCAGCATTGTAACATTGATTGCTACTCAGCAACGGCCAAAGGCAAGGGCCAAACGGCCAAACCTTGTATTCACATCGGGCCGATTTCTTTCCGTCAGACGTTACGCAAGGTCGGCGTACCCCTGGCAGCAGCCATACGGAGCGACAGCGTAGAAGACCGCACTGCATTTGCCATCTAGCCCACTTGCAAACATA